AGTTATACGAACCCAGGTGTCCAGCAGCGCCTCGCCGCGCAGCAGCAGGCGCGGGTGGCGGCCCAGCAGGCGGGCCAGCGCCTCGCTCCCCAGCCCCAGCAGGCCCAGGCACTCCAGCGAGGCCGCCAGCAGCGGGCCGGGCACGCCCAGCAGCCAGGCGTGGCACGTGAGCAGGCGCTCCAGCGCGGGCGGGTCCAGGCCCAGCGCGCGGAGCGCGGCCACCGCGCCTGCCGCGCTCTCGCCCGTGACCAGCAGGCCGACGCGCGCGCCGGGCGCGCGCGCGCCCGCCGCCTCCGCGCTCTCCCCCAGGTCCACGCGGTGCAGCGCGCGGAGCAGCGCCGCGCGCAGCGCCGTGCCGGGCGCGGGGTCCAGGTCCGAGGCCGCGCGCAGGCCGTCGCACACTTCTCGCACCAGGTAGTGCATCATGTTGTAGGGCAGGCGGCCGCGGCGCTTGCCGCGCAGCGTGAACGCGTGGGACGCCTGGGGCGGCGCGCTCGGCTCGGCGGCGGGGGTGGCGGGGGCGGCGGGGGTGGCGGGGGCAGCGCCGGCGGCGGGCGCGGGCGCGGCGGGCGCGGCGCCGCCGCCAGCGACATCCCACCAGGGGGGCCAGGCTGGGGGACGGAGGACAGCACGCCCTGCTGCTCGCGCCAGTCGGACTGCGAGGGCGCGCGCATGCAGTGGTGCAGGGAGGAGGAGTAGAAGGGGACGTGGCGCAGGGCGGGGCGGAGGGGGTTGTCGTTGGGGGGGGATCCCAGGGCTCTGCGCATGAATGGCAGGGGGGAATGGCACTGAAGAGGGCGGGTGAGGTGCCCGGGTGGGCGACGCATGAGCGAGGGTGGCATGGCCACACGATGGCCCCTGTGCAAGCCGGGCACATGCAGCAGACCCTGAACTCTGGTCACCTGGGGAGGAAGCAGGGGGGACTCGACGCTGTACTCGTAGACCACGGGGGCAGGGCCCTCCCAGAGCGGGGAGGAGGCCACGTATGCGCTCTTCTCTGGTTCCAGGGTCAGGCTCTCCTCCGGCCCCAGCGCCTTCCAGTCGCAGCTTTGCCAGTTCGGGGGGCGCCCAAATGGGGAGTGTGGAGGGGGCTCGGGTGCCGAGGAGCTGTGCAGGCCCGCTGCCAGCTCACGCAAGCGGGTGAGGAGGGAAGTGGACACAGGGAGCAGGTGGCTCACAGACCCTGCCGTGCTCCGCGCCGCCACTCGTCCGCACTGCATGGTCCTCGATGTACACCAAAGGAAGACGCTGGGTCACTCGGCGTGTCGCAGTCAAGGTTGCATGCCCAGCCGGCTCGCCTACACCGGCTCGGGCTCACGCCGACCACGAGTTTCGCCGGGGAACGGCGCGTGCAAGGAACTCAGGTAATGCTAGCACGCATCTAAAGCGCCTATCAAGTCCCTAAGATCACCGAGTGCCAAGTGCTCGAGGTGATTTCTTGCCGTGCTCGGAATTGCAGGGCCGTTTTGAGCGCAAAGAAAATTGCGCGAAATGGTCTGGAGACGAGCCCAGGACTGGACGTCCAAGTAAGATAGACAGAACACCCAGACAGCTACCTCAAACTCCAGCATCACATTCAGTTCACCGATATATCCACAATCAACCATTGCTGCCATGAAGGTCACCGTCAGGACCGTGACGGGCAGGACCTTCCAGCTGGATTTTGCTCCCGAGACACAGGTACGCAGTGCAGATGGGAATGGCCCCTGGGCCCCCCAGCCAGGAAGTCATTGCGCCTTAAGCCGGTCTATAGTCCTTGGTTATCACGCCAGACCGAGGAAATCGTGTGCATACCTCGCAGATCAAGGATGTCAAGCTAGGGATCGCGGAGGCCCAACCTGACCTTCCGGCTGATGCACTCAATATCATCTACCAGGGCAAGGTGCGACTATGTCACCTGAAGGAGAATCGGTCTGCTAATCTCCCGCTGTCTCGTGTATTGGTGCATAATAGAGAGTATATGGACGAAAGTGAGGCGCTGAGCACAGCGCTCAGGCGCAAGGTCTTCACTCTGACACGCCATGCGGCCCCTTCCCGATGCATCCACTGCCTCAGATCCTGAAAGACGACGCCACGCTGACGGGGAGCAATGTCTCCGAGTCTGGCTTCATCGTGGTCATGGTCATCAAGGTGATCCAGGGAGGGGAGGGGAGTCGTCCGGGATCTGTACGCAGTGCTGCAAGGCGTCCCACTCCATCACCAGAATATCAATGTGCCTGATCACGAGGTGGCCCTGCAAATCTTGACGCAAGTCTGCTGCTGTGCGAGGCTTCGCGATACCGCCTCCTGCCCTGTATGTGAGAGTACACCCTGTGATGTGCTCTGCAAGTACCACACCCCAATCCGCCGAGCAGAAAAAGGCGGAGCCCAAGTCGGAACCTGCTGCGCCCGCGGCAGCGCCGGCACCCACTCCCGCCGCGCCGGCCCCCGCCGCCCCCCGCCCCCCGCCCCCGCCACGGAGGCCGCCGCCCCCGCCTCTGGTATCCCAGAGGCCACGGCGGGGTCCGCCGCGGCTGGCGCCTCCGCTGGAGGCTACGAGGAGGCCGCCTCCCAGCTTGCCAGGGGCTCGGAGCTGGAGGCCAAGGTGGCCGCCATCGTGGACATGGGCTTCCCGCGCGAGGAGGTGCAACGTGCCATGCGCGCCGCCTTCAACAACCCCGAGCGCGCCGTGGAGTACCTCATGTCCGGCATCCCTGCCGGCCTGGGGGTGAGTCATATGTGTGTGTGGGGGGGAGTTTGGATGTTTGAGGGTGAGTCATGGGGGCGGGTGCTGGGAACAGTCCCTGCGCTCGAGCACCGGGGCTGGCGAAGGGAGCAGTTGGGGTTTTGGCAAGCACTGCCACAGCCCCGTCCAGGGTCTCGGGGTTCTGCAGCCTCCCTTGGAGTCCCTGCACCTGGCTGATGTTCTGAGCTGCACAGCGGGGCATCCGGCACAGTTGCCTCTCCCACCCATTTCTGCAGGATGAGGAGCGGCCGGCGGCCCCCACCAGCTCACCCGCCCCGGGGTCCGCCGCCCCCGCCCCCGCCCCCGCTGCACCCTTCGACATGTTTGCCCCCGGCGCCGCCGAGGCGGCGCCGGGGGCGGCGGGCCCCTTGGACTTCCTCCGCTCCAACCAGCAGTTCCAGATGCTGAAGGCCATGGTGCAGCAGAACCCCGCCCTCCTCCAGCCCATGCTACAGGTTTGTGGGGGGGGCCGGCGCTGTGTGCTTGTTGAGGGTTTGTTGTTGGGAGTGGGAGCTTGAGTGGAGGGGGAAAATAGAGAGGGGATGTGCAGAATGTGGCCAGAAGGGGCAGGCCGGTGCGAGGAGGGCGAAAGCATGACGGTAGTGGCTGGATCGTGACGGCCCAAAGAGGCCGACCCCATCGCTGCGCCCGCCCTGACAACAGGGCAGCGCGTCGGGTCGCCCGCTGTCCATCATTCCCACCTCGCCCCACCCTCGCCCCACCCCCCTCACCGCTCAGGAGCTGGGCCGGAACAACCCGGCGCTGCTGGAGCAGATCAACGCCAACCAGGCCGCCTTCCTCGCCATGATCAACGAGCCCAGCGCGGCGGGGGGCGCGGACCTGGAGACCCTGGTGCAGCAGCTGGCGGGCGAGTACGAGGGCGGCGAGGGCGGCGGCGAGGCCATGGACGAGGGGGATGTGCCCCCTGGGGCCAACGTGGTGGAGGTCCACCTCTCGCCGGAGGAGGTGGAGGCCGTCGAGCGGCTCGTGGGCCTCGGCTTCGACCGCCAGGTGGGGGTTGCAAGTGGGGGAAAAGGGGGGGAAGGGGATCCCCTGTCCACGAGTGCGGTCTGCTCCCTGGGTCTGCATTCTGTGTGACGTGGGGCGACCTCTCAGCAAGGCCCAGTGTGCATCTCTCGGTACCAACTTTGCCTTGCATCGCCACAGGTGTGTTTGGAGGCGTTCCTCATCTGCGACAAGAACGAGACCCTGGCTGCAAACTACCTGCTGTACGTGTGGTGGGGGGGGAGGGGGAGGAGGGGCGGGAGGGGTGTGCTTGCTCTTCTTGTCTCAGACTCTGGAAGGAGAAGAGCGCCGTGCGAACATGTGAACTCAGAACGCTTGTGGTCAAGCACTAGCAAGAACCAGGTCGCTGTGTTCGAGGGACCCATGTCGCCCATGGCGTGCTCGCCCCCTCCTCACGCAGGGAGAACGGGCAAGACGCATAGCGAGGCCTCTGCACCGCTTGGCCACTGTCCTCCCTGCAGCTCCAACTCTGCATGTGCAGCGCTGGAGCCCTGTCCTGGGCGCTGTGCATGCCGGCACTCCTGATCCTGCAACCGCCGGGCCCCTGATGCCCTGCTCTGCGAACAGTCTCGCTGTGACACACCCACACACACACCCCTTGATGGAACGGATGCATTGGGCCGACTTTACACGAATGTCAGACAAGGTGGGAAGCAGCGAGAAGGGACAAGCAACCCGACATGGTGATGGGGACGAGGTTTTTCAAGCCTTGGAGTCAGTGAGGCGCGGAGGGCGGGCGCGCACAGGTACAGGACCCAAGTCCACCTCGTGCCACCCCGACCCCGGCTCAGGCCCAGGAGAAGTTGTAGGGCAGGTCTGGGAAGGTGCAGCCGGAGCGCTGCACCACGATGGAGGCGGCGTAGTGCCCGGCGCGCACGCCCTCCTCCACGCCCTTGCCGGCCACCTGCAGGTTGGGGGGTGGAGGGCAGGGGGGGTTGTAGAATGGACGGCGGGGGAGGGGGGGGTATCTGAGCACACGATGATCTGTTGGCAGGACTGAGCAGCCCCAAGGGCAGGGCAGGCTCGCACAACAGCTTTGTGCCTCGATGCAGTGGGTGAGCTAGAACCACCGCTGGCCCCCTGTGCCCACCCCAGTGATCCTCACCAGCTGCGACAAGAAGCCGCCCACGAAGGAGTCGCCGGCGCCATTGGTGTCCACCAGCTTCTCGGCGGGCAACCGCACCACCTTTGTGTTTGGGAGGGAATGATTGTTGAAGGGACGGAGGGCGGGAACTGTAAAGCATTCCACGCAAGCACAGCATCCACTCCTTCCTATCCCCCGCACCAAGCACCTCCATCCCCATCCCCGCGCGGCGCGGGGCCCACTCACGGGGAAGAGCGCGACCTTGCCGTGCACCGCCACCACCGTGGGATCGGCACCCTGGGTGAAGATCACGGTGCGGGGCCGCGCGCCATTCTCCTTGGGCAGGCGGGAGATGCGCAGCGCTATCTCCTCCACATCCTCCGTGCCCCACTCGGCCGCTGCGGCGTAGGCGCGGGCCTCGGTCTCGTTGCCAAACTGGTTCAAGGAGCGGGGAGGGGGATGGTTGTCGGCAGCCTTATGCGATGGCAGCAAGATTCCCGGTGGGACGCGAGGGGAATCCATGTTGCTGTGGGCAGCCCCCGCCCCGCCCTGCAGGGTCGCCTGGTGCCCAGTGGCAACCCAACACAGGCTCCTCTACCTCCCCACCTCCCCAACAACGATCACGCCCCCCCGGCACACACCAGGAAGTCGACGTAGGGCAGGAGCTGGTTGAGGGCGGCGCGGAAGGGCGGCACCTCCACGATGAAGGGCGCGGAGATGTTGAGCGCGTACTGCTTGTCGTTGGCGGCGGCGTGCTGGGCCACCTTCAGCATCGAGTCTGGGGACACGGTGATGAAGAAGCCGGCGGAGTAGATGACACGGGCAGCCTCCACCGCCGCCCAATTCTCCGGCTTGAGCAGGTGGTCGATCTGGCGGTAGGTGGGGGCGGGATGGTGGGATGGGTGAGTGGCGATCGAGGGGCACAGTCCAGTCGGCTGGATGCGTGGGCGGGTGTCCCCCCCCGCCCCCCTCTCTCCCCCTTCTCCACCCAACTACCCACCTTGTAGTTGTTGGCGGCGGCCAGGTTGGCCACCAGGGAGCGCTCCCCGCCAACAATGCAGGCGGCGCAGGTGCCGGTGGGCACCTCCGGGTCGACGTGGTACCGCACCTGCACGCCATCCTTGGCGGCGGCCGCGGCCAGGATGCTGCCGTACTCGTCCTTCCCCACTGAGCCCATGTAGGTGGTGGCGCCGGGAACCTGGTGCGCCGAGGGTGGGCCGTGGATGATCGTTAAGTGGTGGATGGGGTGTTGAGGAGGGGCGAATGCACTGCTACTCCCACGACCCACCACGAAACCGAAACAACCTCCATTCCAACAGGCACACCTGCAGCATCCACTGGGCGATGCGGATGCTGTTCTGGGTGGCACCGCCGGCGATGAACGCGGGCTTGTGCTCATCGGTCAGCTCCTGGATGGATTGGGAGGATGGGCTCCTGAGCACACGCAAAGATGTTATGCAGGGGATCCGATGGCGAGCTCACGCTGGTCCAAGATCATGACCACCATTGGCCACCTGGGCTTGAACCCCCTGATACCAATGAGAGTTCCTCAACTTTTCAAGTTCTCACCTTGAAGAGGGGGAGGTGCTCCTCCTCTGCCAGAATCTGGTTGCCCAGCTTCAGCTGTGACGGGGTGCGGCGGGGAGATTCAGGGGGTTGATGCCGCCACACCGCGCAGCGATCAGGATCGCTCTGGGCCACGATCGGCCAAGCGGCGCCAACCAATTTACTCTTACCCGCTTTAGGTCAGCTCTCACTTACCTTGTATTTGTCCAACATGGCCTGATCGACGACGGCAGAAATGTCTAGCAGGGGGTTGCCCATGCCCAACAGCACGCCTTGGAGTCCCGCCATCTTGGTTGCTGTTGGATCTCCGTACCTCTTGATGAGCTCGGTGGCAAATCCGCCTAAGATGGCGAATCCCCTGCGTGGGCCTCCTCCACATCCCTGGGAGGCCAGGGTGCTCACCCGCCTCAGCATCTCCCGAGCGCCATCCTTTCCAAAGCAGACCGGTCCGGTGCGACGGAGAGTCGGCCCCAGAGTGCCTCAATTCACCTCCTATCAGCCATGTTCGTACCCCAAGACTGTCATGCAAGTGATGACGTGGCCTCCGACACCGTTCAGGCAATGTTCACGGCGTCGGGATGGGCCAGAAGATTTCCGGGTTCAGTTTGTTTGTGGGAAGATTCGTCCATGCTGCGCCTGCCCACCCAAGGCCCCCTGTCTCTGCGAGGTATTTGACCATTCAATCTGCCCTGGCAATGAACTTGCGCACGCCCTCTGCAAGGGGATAGTCTAGCTCAGTTTTGTTGCTGTGTGGGTCTTCTGTTCAAGTATTGGTAGCTGCACAGCAGCCCGAGCTCTACTACAAGTCCAATTGTTACTCTGTGGATGCATCAGTCAAGGGGGTAGCAGCGCCAACATCTGGCAGAGGTCTCTGAACAGGTCCTTTGCCAGGGGTACAATGTGCTGCTATCAGGCGCACAGCGCACCTTGAGTTGGTGGCCTAACGGTATCAGAAACCATGTAATCGCAGGGTCAGCTCACCATGGCCCCCCCTTCCAGGATCCAGCCCGTCGCTGCCCTCTCGTCCCAGCCTCGCTGCTGTGGTGCCGCAGCCCGGTCACCACGCCTGCCCAGTGCCAGGCACTGGACCTCCCCCCCGAATGCAGTATCTGGTGGAACACCAGCCTCGTCTTCCCGTGCTTCACTGCCGATGCCTGCTTCAGGGCGCAGGGCTGGCACTGCGAGCAGGCAAGGTGGGGGTTCTGGAGGTGAGCTGCGGAGTGCGCAGGGTCGAGCGACAGCGCGCAGTCTGCGGTCCGAGCAGGCACAGCAGGAGCCCGGAGCAAGGGTGGGCCCTCGTTCTTGCAGCGATTGTGGCCGCCAGGATCATCGGTGCACGCCCACCAGTCCACCCCGCCAACCCCCCTCAGCTCTCCACCCGCCCACCTGCGGGTAGTACCGCTGCGGTGTGGGCCCCAGGTGCACGCCCAGCGCCTCGCTGGCCTCCTTGACGAAGGGCAGGCGGCGCAGCGTGCGCAGCGCGGCGGGCATGGCCTCCACCCGGTCCAGGACCAGCTTGTTGGGGGGCATGTGATCGCCGATGACGTCGCCGCGGCGCGTTCCGCAGTGATGGCACCCGTCCCTGTGAGGCGCGCGGAACCCGGTGGAGTGGTCAGAGGGAGCGCTGGATGCCCACAGCCGGGGGCACTGGACCTGGATCTGCAAGCCACCTGATGGCACCCCCGCAAACGTCGGCCCGCCTGCATCTGCACATCGCCTGTCCGGCCAGTGAGAGTGTCCCCCTGGCAAATGCCCCATCCCACCCCAACCTCCGCCTCGAGCCAAGGATCAACCCCCCCACAGCGTGCCTCTTGAAGAAGCGGAACAGCTCGCGCCGCTTCCCTCGGCTGGCGTACTCGATGCCGCGCGTGGGCATGGACTCCAGGGCAATGGCGCCCACGCGGCTGAGGTCGCTGGGCATGACGCTGCGGAACCTGCCGCCCATGAGCTTGAACAGCGCGATGCCCAGCGCGGCGTCCACCAGCAGCGTCTCCGCGCTCCAGCCGCGGCGGGCCGGGCGGGCGGCGGCCGGGCCGGGCGTGCCGCCCCGGCCGCCTCCGTGCAGCGACTCGCGGCAGAGCAGGGATGCCTGCCCGGCCAGCGCCGAGGCCAGGCCCACCCCCAGCAGGCCGCCCACGGGGCCCAGCACCGGCGTGGCGCACGACACGCGCGCTGCCATGCCCAGGGTCTGCGAGGGTTGGGGGGAAGGAGGGGTGGGCTATGGGCGCACGGTGCATACAGGGGGACCACTTCCGACCACCCGCCGCCTCAACCTGCGCTGCGGCCAGGCCGGCGGAGTATGCGCCCATGGTCACAGCCGTCTGGATGGCGTATGGGACCAGGGGGCGCAGGGCCTCCCCGACGGCATTGATACGGCGCCTGGAGGCAGGGGCACAAGATGTATGGGGGATTGGGCGGTGAGAGTCTTGATCCGCCGGGTACTCCCCTTTTCTTGATACAAGCGCGTCAACAACTCACTCTAGGGGAGTCAGGTGGGTGGCATGTCTGTGCTGGAAGTGCCTCCCGGAGTCCATGTCGATGCGGAGTTCGTTACGGGCGCATGGGTGGGGAAGTCCAACCTGTCACCACCCACCCTCGTGACCCGCGTCCTCTGATCCAAAAAGGGAGCCCCGGCTGCACTGTCCACCGTCCCGTCGACTTCACCCCTATACGAGGGCCACTCGTGCGTCCCAGGCGTCCGAGACTGGGCGCTGTCGGAACGTGCCTGTTCCGCGCGCGAGAACTGATGTTAAGCTGAAACCGCGAGATCACTTCGGCGATCAGTGATCCCAAACGCATTTCTATATATTTTGTCATCACAAGCTCGCTGTCTCAAATTATTACCCAGTGCGCGATCTGTTGCCTTCTCCACTGCCTGGGGCGGGGCAGGGCATGGGGGAGTCCACGGCTGGGAGGGTCACCTTCTGGTGGCCGGCCACCCTCCAGCACTCCCGCCTGCAGTCGCTCCTGGTCCAGAGCTGCAAGCTGGGGTACATTAACTACCAACACGCGCACATCGTCATTGCCCCCCCCTCCGTGGCGCGCTGGCTGTCCCCTGGGCTGCTCCCTCTCCAGCCGGTTGAGGGTCCAGATCCCACCCTGTGGTCGGCCCAGGTGGGATCCTGGGAGCTCGAGGTGCAGCTGGTGTACCGCCCCGACACAGACTGGATCCCCGCAGCATGGGTATACCCCGCCGAGTCGGCCGCCGGGCCCCCGCCCGAGGCGCGGGTGGAGGTCTACTCGGGCCTGCCCGCGCTGCCACGCTGGATGCTGAGCGAGGCGGGGCTGGCACGGGTTGAGCCTGGGTCCAAGGGTCGACGCCCCACGGCTCTGAGGGTGCTGGCCTGCATGGCCACCGTGGTGTGCCTGGCCCGCCACCCGCGCTGGACCCGGGTCGACCCCGGCCCTGCCGCGCTCATGGTTGTGTCGCTGATGGCCTGGCTCGGCGACGCACATCCCGCAGGTGACGCCGCTCCGTGCTGCGATTGCCTCTTCTTGACGATCTCAGAGGGGGATTGTGTGCTGCAGCTGAGATGCTAGGTGCCGGATGCGATTACCGTCGGGACACACCCTGCCTCACCCTCCCCACCCTCACCAAATCGTCACTCAGGCTTCAAGCTGCACCCCCAGCTCTGCGAGCTCCTCTCCCTGGCCGGCACGGCGCACGCCCGGCTGTGGCTGGCCGTGACGCCCTGGGCCGCCACCCTCCTCCTGCGCCTCATGTTGGGTGCGTGCGTGCGTGCTGGGTCCTGAGAGCCGGGCGACGGTGTCTGCGCTCGGCCCGTGCTGTTCCCCTGCGCGAGTTCCTCTGCATGTCCGTGGCAGCATGGCCCGCCTCCCTCGTGACCCCATCCTCCCCTCCTCCCCTCCAGCCGCCGTGCTCGTCACCACCGCCCTCGGCTCCTCCTCCGCCGGCCTGCGCGCCGCGCACGCCGCGGCGCGCTGCGCGGAGCGCGCCACGACGGGCCCCGCCCGCGC